TCTTCATCTTCATCTTCATCTTCATCTTCATCTTCATCTTCATCTTCGTCTTCATCTTCATCTTCATCTTCATCTTCATCTTCATCCTCATCTTTATCTTCATCTTCATCATCTGCGTCTACATTATTATCTACATCATCGTCTTTATCTTCATCATCTTTATCAATCTCAACCTTTGGCTGTATTTTTGTATTTGTCTTTGTCATTGTCATTGCCTTTGAATGCGTTTTTTCCTTTGTCTATATCCTTGTCTTTGTCTCTCCCCGCCCCCAGTGGCGTTCAATGCGGCCGTTCGTTTACTGTGGCTTTAACGGCCGGTTTCACCAGACTTTTTATTTTCTGACAATTTCCATATAAAATTTATAAAATTAAAATCATTTTTTCACTTAAATTGCTTTCGTGAAATTGGCTGTAAATATTTAAAGAAAATAGTTCCGAAGTCTGTTAGGAATTTTCACTTCAAAAAAGTTCTGAGAAATGCTCACTCGTTTTCATTTTATCAGCCAAATATTTACAAGTGAATTGAAACTTGTGACAGTGGATTTTTTACTGAAGATTATTTTAATAGTGTTATAAATTTGTGAGATATGTCAGTTATAATGATATATTACACTGAACAAGATTTTTATTGCCGGCCTCTAAGTCGATAAGGAATTCGTTTGCGTGATTAAAAGGAAATTGATAATGCCATACGAAATAGTACACCAACTGTACACAAATGCATGCGTACTAATAAAAAAATACACGTAGAAATTCTAATTCAATTAAGATTATCTTGTTGGTTAAAATTTACTCTTCCACTTAAAGGCCATTTTTGCCTCCATCCGCCCGCACGGAATCGGTGCTACTGCTATATACTATTTTTATGTTACACTAAATAAAATTTCAAAGACATTTTCCCACCATAAATTCATACTTAGGCAGTCCGAGTTCTAGCAAAAAAACTAGATTTCTGCCAGCGTTACTATCGGCCATTTGCTTATAAATAACACTACTTTGTCCGTGGCGAATACATTCGCTAATGCGATCTGTCGGAATGTCGTTGAAATACAGTTTAATTTTCGCACTCTGCCTGGCGGCAGTGGCCCTAAGCAATACCGAACGTGCGCGCTATGATAACTATCGCGTGTATAGGGTGACCGCATCCAATCTTCAAGAATTGGCGTTCTTAAAGGAAATGGAGGACAGCAGTGACGCATTGATCTTCTTGGAAGGCGTTCACTCCGTTGACAAGGATATCGATGTTGTTGTGGCACCTCACAAAGTACCCGACTTCCTGAAAGCTTTGATTGACCACAATATCGATTACGTATTGCTTGAACAGAATTTGCAATCACGACTCGAAGATGATGACGATACAGAGATTCGTGGACGTGCTGGCGCTTATGGCTGGGAAGAGTACCAAACGCTTACCGACACATACACTTGGTTGCGGTCGTTGACCAGTTCATATCCAGGCGTTGTGAGGCTCATCGAAGGTGGCAAAACTTATGAGAAGCGTTCGATTTTGGGTGTGAAAATCTCCTATAATAACGGTGCAGAGAAAAAGCCTGGCATCTTCTTAGAAGCTGGCATTCATGCACGTGAATGGATTGCACCAGCTACCGCGACCTACATCATTAATCAGCTGCTGACATCAGAAGATGCTGCCATTAAGGATTTGTTTCAAAATTACGATTGGTACATATTCCCGCACGCCAATCCCGATGGATATGTCTACACGCACACTACCGATCGTTTGTGGCGTAAAACACGTCAGCCCCATGGTACCTGCTATGGCGCGGATCCAAATCGCAACTGGGACTTTCACTGGAATACAGTGGGCGCTAGCAGCAACCCCTGCTCTGATACGTATGCTGGTCCGTCTGCATTTTCTGAATTGGAAGCAAAATCGTTGTCAAACTACATTCAAACGCTGGAGGGAAAAATTGACGTATACATATCTTTCCATTCCTACTCTCAGTATGTGCTTTATCCCTATGGTCACACCCAAGAACTGCCTGCTAATGTCAATGACTACAAGCGTGTATTCAATGTTACAGTGGCTGCTATCGCAGAGCGCTATGGTACCAAATACACTGGTGGCAATATTTACGATGCCATTTATCCGGCTGCGGGCGCTAGTGTGGACTGGGTCTATGGTAACGTGGGTACTCGCATGTCCTTCTGCCTGGAATTACGGCCAGGCCCAAATTCTATTCTAACTGGTTTCAGACTGCCAGCCGCTCAGATTATTCCTACAGGCGAGGAAACTCTGGATGGTGTGGTCGCTTTGGTTAATGAAGTTAAGGCTTTGGGTTACTTTGTTTAAAATGACGAATTTACTTCAGTATTGAATAAACAAAAAAAAAAAACATTTGAATATATGTAGCGTTTTCTTTGAGTTCCGTGAGGAGAAGCGAGGGAAAAGGCGAACTGTGCGAGGACTGGGCGTTGATAAGGCTTCTCTAGCTTCTCCTAAGGACTTCAGGCCTATCACTTTGACTTGCATATAAGAAACGAGATTACTCAGGACTCAGTTGGTAGATACCGCCCTACACAAATTAGTAAAGATTTTGCAGTAGGGGCCTTCTTCGACATCGAAGGGCCTTCAGCAATGTTGTTGCTTATGCAATAGTCAAATCTCTAAATACTGGTATTTTTCGCTATTCTTCTTATCGGAGGTGTCTGACTGCAGATCTCAGACAGGGTCAAGTGGATAGGAAACCAAACATTGGAAAGGCGTTGTATTCCTTATATTGTTGCAGGGTGGGAAGGAGGGCTAGTGTTAAGAGATGGGGTCTCTGGTGTAAAATAATTAATTGGCTTTGAGAAACCATATTTAAACTTCTCCAGCCACTAAAGCAGCAGCTGACTTATTGCTGAAGAGTGTGACATCAGTTAAGGAGTTAACCACATATTCTGAAAGCTAAGCGGCTATCATGGTCTTGAATGAAATGGTAGTGCAGTCGAAAGTGGATAGATAATGTTTGAACCGCCTCTCAATTGCGTCGGACTACTTTTGAATTGGTACCATTTGGGTGCCAAGCCAAAGTGACATTGCGAGAAACTGCATGGCTAAAGTCTTGGCAAGAAAAGTTACCCTTGCAACATTAACAGCGGATATGCGGCTCAATATTGGACAAATAGGTGAGCCATTACTAGGAAATTTTCCATTGTAAGCTTCTTCGGCCCCAGGCTTGATCGGGGATCGTCGAATGAGCTATTCGCGCTTGCAAAGCTGCAGCTCTTGGGTATTTAGCTATTCCTTCGACAGTCGAAGGTTGAAATATTTTCGTTCGCACTCGCTAATCAATCTGAACTTTAAAATTAGTTGCGTTAGTTATTTCGTAATCGGTTCGCTGGCCAATCTTCGTTCAAAGTCTGCATGGCCATACCAGCGTAGCCCAACCGAAGTCAAACACTTAGCTAAAATTTGAGCCTTTATAATTTATTTGTTTGTTACTTATTGCCTGCAATTTAAACGCTCTTTGTCGGCTGTAGTTTTGTTGTTTTCGATCGACTTGTACTTCCTCATAGTTGTGTACTGGGATTATCACTTCAACATCCGCGCCTTAAGGTTTCCTCTATAATTTTTAAGTATGCTCTGGACGTTGGTCAACAGTTACCATTTCGTATCCTTAAAGGAATTTTTTTGTGGTCTTTAAACTTTGTTGTCGAATTTTCAGCCACTCTTCCGCCCATTTAAAGCCCTTTGAACTAACTCATTTCGCCTGCTATTTTAGATTCGCTTTCAAAATCGCGTTGTATTTCCCAAATGGCAGGATTATTTAAACCATATACATGCATACCAACATTCTTTCAATATCTAATAGTAACATACATATATATAGTTTGGCTTAGGCAGAGTAAATAGGTCGAAATTTAGTAAAGTCTTTGCTGCAAATATATATTCCATTTTGTAATTGTTTACTTCACTCGAATTTGATTTTTTAAACAGGTGACACTTACCTTGTTTATACCTACGAAAAAACAGCATTAACAAAAAACCGATTTGATTCAACACATATTTCTTTCAAGCGTTTATACCGGTGTCATTTTAGCGCACTCACTGAAACCGTATTCAAAAGTAAACTAAACTTATTATTTTTATTCGATATTTCTTTAATAATTAACTTGCGCGGTGGACCGAAATGGAAGCGAACAAGAATTTAAATTTGTTGTAATAATGATTCAAATTTAAAACAGGCTGTATAAAGAAAACCGGCCATTTTTCACTTCGCGTCAAATTAATGATGTGTTTATACCTGTTTTCTAACCGATGTGAGAAATAAAAAAGCGATTTGAGAACAAATTCGAGTCAATTAACTTTTGAATTTCTGAGCGTGTTGAAAGTTGGTTTATGATTCCGTTTTGAATCACAGCGAACTGGGTCAAAGCGCTTTATGTGTCGGTATGAAACTTCTTTCGTTTAACATCCATATGGTAATACAAGGTGACGCAAAATTAATCATAAAATTTAGTTTTTGAACAACTTTTTAATTAATAAAATTAATAAAATTTACAATTATTTCTGTTAAGTGGAAAAGATGATTATCCGTCAAACGGCTACCACCAGTGTTGATAAACGTTTTCTATGACTTTCCACAAGATTTTCGGTGATAGCTGTTCGCTTTCCTGTCGAGTATTCTCCTTAAGGGCCGATTATAAAGAAGGGTGATTAATTTTGCGCCACCTTATATTTCATTACATTGAATTTCACGATTAAACAGATGGCAACCCTCTTCAAAATGAAGCTCTTTTCAACATATTTTATTACACAGTCGTGTTTTAATATTTCATTAAGGTAACTGATTAAATTCAATACGACTTTTAAACTGGTGGCCACGCTTTTTCAAAATATTTCCTAAATAAAACCGTCTAAAGCATTTCTTGGTTGACTTAACATCATTTTATAGTGTTTATTTCAAAGTACTGATTTAATTCAAATTTACTTTTGAAAAAATGTAAACCATTTTCAAAATACTTTCAAAATAAATTTTTCGTAAATCTTATTGTTTAGCCATCCATATTTGTAAAAATTAAGTACTAGGTGGCAATCTTCTTAAAAATGCTTTCGTAATAAAGTTTTTTTTTTTTTATCTGGTTCGCATGGCATGCGTGGTGATTTCTTTTTTTGAACTTATAATTTAAAATAAAATTTTACTTTGTAAGCAGGTGGCAACCCTCTTCAAAGAATACGCCAAATTTAATCCAAAGAAAAACAACAAACATACTCTAATATTTACACGCTCACTCACAAACTTTCGCTTTTATAATATTAGTCGGATTTTATTCAACTTCTCAGTTTAATTGATTTTAACTTCCCACACTGGTGGCAATGCTCCTCACCCATATTAAAATATTGTATTTAATTTCTTATGTAAATTGATTCCAACATTTTAACAGGCGGCAGTCCTTCAAAATTAATTTCGAAACAAAGCTTTCTTCAACTTCTCTCTTTTTTTTATTTCATTTGTTAACTAAATTGATTTTGAATTTCAAAACAGCTGGCAACCCACTCCAAAAGTAGTTTCCAAAAAATTAAGTTTTCTCAAATTTCTCTCGTTTGATACCCATATAAAGAAACTTTATTCAATTTGTTATTTAAATTGATTTCAACTTTTGGAACAGGTGGCAACCCACTCCAAAAATATTTCCACATAAATCCGGCTTAAATTTCGACCGGCTTGACACCCATATAAAAATACTTTAGTTAAATTGAATTTCACTTTTTGAGCAGGTGGCAACCCTCTTCAGAAATATTTTTCAAATTAAACTTTCTTAAACCTATCTCATTTGTCAACCATGTCAAAATTGATAACTTGTTAACTGTACAATATATATATATCGTCGTTTAAACTAGGGATGACAGTGACATCGATGTTTTTCTTTGATTCGATGCAGCGAAATGTACATCGATATTTTTCGATGCATCGAAGGGCATACATCGATGCATCGATTTGCATAAGATTTTTCAGATAATGTTTCACAACAAAATATGTTACTAGCAAAATTGTAGAAAATTACTGCAACTGAGCTAATTATGTTTCTAACGGAACTTCTTGCAGCCATTTAAATTTTTTGGCCAAAGTCACTTCTTTTTTTAACAATTGAAAAACTGGAATGACGGTTCAATGTACCGTAGATGTCAGTTTTCAAAAAACATCGATACATCGACTATTTATACATCGAGTGGAAAATTTTCGAAACATCGATATTTTCGATGCATCGATGCTTTTCCGACATCCCTACGCGTAACTGACGTTGGCTGCCAAAAATTGGATTTGCTCACACAAGTTCTTGGCTCAATCCTTATCCATTCGTCCTGAAATATACTAGCCAGAAATGCGATGGCTTTATAAAAATGAGAACCATTTTGAAATATGAGTGTTTTTACGCTCTAGAAAATAATTTCTACAACTTCACATACGCGGTTTTGCATTTTGTTGATACGCGGTTTTGCATCTTAAACGACGATATATATAACTTATATTGATTTTGAGCTACTAAAAAGCTGGCAATCCTTTTCAAAAACATTTTGCAAAAAAGCTAAAACCTAAAGTTTCGAAACATGAGATTTTTTGAAAATACCAAAATATATTACATACATATATATGTACATATGAGGTCGATGTTTTGAATTACTTTCTGAAAAGGATTGTCGAAATGGTCAGGTTGTAGTTTTTGCTGGGATCTGTTTACGATCATGAAAAATAATTGTAGTTTAGTCTATGTGTGCAGTGTGAGTCGTCTTTCTAATCCTAATCCAACGCCATGAACTGACAGTTTTGAAGATCTAATTTCATTTTCGGTTGGATCGTATTGTTTTCAATTGTATGTAATTGAAATAGTTTATTTATACTCGTATTTAATTATTTTTATAGTGAAACCATTTACATATCGTTATCTTAATTCACAAATGCCCTAAGCAACACTTTTTATGAAACTACGTTTTTCACAGATTCTAGTTGGATGTATTAAAATACACCTTCGGCAAAAATTTTAAAGTGTTAGTAACAAAAACAACGGAGTTAAATGCCACTTTTAAAAAGCCCTACATGTATTTGATACTATTTTTAACCCACTTCAAAAAAAGAAGGAGGCTATCAATTCGTCGGAATATTTTTTTTTGTTTTTTTTTTTATGTATGTTACCGCATAACTTTGGACCACGTCGACCGATTTAGATAATTATTTTTGCATCGGAAAGGTAGTATCTCAGAGGTAGTCCCATGCTAATCTCCGACCATTGCATCATGAAAAAATTAACGGTGCTCCTAAATTTTTATATGAGAATTGAAGTCGGTTTCGTTTTTTTATTTTTAAGCAA